TGGTTGCCCTTGTGCAGTTTGACACAAGGCTGATGCCAGTGTAATTTACGAATATCTTACAGTGCAACACGCACGCACACACACACACACACACAGAAGCATTCACACACACACACACACACACACACACACACACACACACACACACACACACACACACACACACACAGTTCAGGAAAGAGCAGTTAAGTTCAGTTTGACAGAAAAGAACTTCAGTGTTGTGGTTAGAGAACAGACTGAAACTCAACCTCCATATCAACCAGAGCAGCGCTTGGCTCAGGGTTTGGGGGAAATTTCCCGTTTGGCTTCTAAGAACAAACAATCAAATGAAGAGGGACCGAGCACAAGTTAAACGTCCCCTCCTGCAAACACGGCAGGTTAGAGTGAAGCCACATGTGCTGTCCCACAGAAGTGTGTTTCCTGGAGTGTGCAGGGGAAGGGTACACACTTCCATCCTCTCACACATGATCTCTGCCTAATGAGTTTGTTTTGGCCTTTTCTCCTCACTCTGACCGCAAACTCTTTCATACACAAGGACCACATTACAGCCTCCATATTTCTTTCTCACTTTACACATGCAGCCCCCAACCCATTCGTTCCACTGCTGCCCACCTCTGCAGACCCCCTCCTCTTCTTGTTCCTGCTTCTCTCTGTGTGTGTTTTGCAACAGTGTTTTTCAGTCTGAGGGCCATTCCAGGTTGATCTGTTTTTTCATGCCACTAAATCACTGCTGTGTCTGTATCTGTGTGTGTGTACATTTGTTCGGCTGTGTATATGAAACTGTTCTTGGCTGAAGCAGAATACTACTGCATAACTGAAATGCATCACGGATGAAGAAATTTGAGAAAAACATCTGGATTCAGCCAGTCAAACAGCTGGACAGAATCTAGTGAGTATAGTGTGTGTGTGTGTGTGTGTACTTGTTTTTGTTGCCTCTTTAGAAGCTTTTCTAGTCTTGTCAGGACCAGACATCGAGGGGACCAAAACCCAGTTCTAATGAGCAAAAATATAATTTCTGAAGTCCTGGTTAAAGTTAGGGATGAGGTTTGTTTAGATTATCCACAATGGATAGTCAATGCAAAGTCCTAATAAGTACAGCTGCGCAAACCTCTGTGTGTGTGTGTGTGTGTGTGTGTGTAGGGACCATTGTATTATAAGGGGAAGACATACGGTTAGGTCTAGGCAAGTAGTAAGTATGGTTAATGTTATAGTGAGTCTCAAGGAAATTAGTATGAGTCAATGTTATGTCCTGTGAAGTCACGGAGACACGACCCTGTGTGCATGTCCACCTACAAACTTCTCTTCTCCCTTTTGTTGTGATATTGCAACATTTCGCAGATGTAAGCTAAAGCCAAAAAGCATGGATAAGAGGAAAAAGAATGAGTTCTGGGAAAACAGTGGAGAGTGTGTGTGTGAGAGAGTGAGAGGGAGAGAGAGAGATAGATATGATGTGCATGTAGTAGTCAGTGGGGGGTGACGGAGGCTTTGAATGACCATATCTAATACAGATGAATCCTCAGGGTCCAGCTCTGGCTCATGTTATACAAGCACCACCCTGAGTAAATCTCTGGTTTAACTCAGTTAGATTCCATTTCTTTACTTAGAGACTAAAGTCAGATAAAGTGAAGGAAGAGAGGGGGAAAGTAAGGGAGCTGCTTTTTAAGCCTGCAGAATCAATGTATGATCTCATTCTCATGCTCCATGAAACTTAATATCATATAAATATCCTGGAATGTCTGCTAAGGACTTATGCAGACTCTCTCTCTGTGTGTGTGTGTGTGTGTGTGTGTTGGAGAGAGTAAGTCCAGGTTGTCTTGTATCCTAGGTGACGGTGTGTTTTGTTCAGACATCTCTACATAAACACAAATAGAGCCAGTGGTTTCATTTTTAAATCTCTGGCTCTCTTATCATAGTGATTAATGAGACTTTTCAATGAAGTAAAAAAAGAAGTATTAGCTTTAAAGTAGTACGGAGAATGTTTCACAGCTTCAAAACAACCACTACCCAGTCACTGTATTTAGATTTAGCGTGTTTGCAAGTCATCTTTATTCCAATGCAGGATCAATGTTATCATGATATATGACATTTTAAACTTAAACTGCATAAAGATGGACGACGTGTCTCCACCTCCTCCCACTGTATGAATATTGGGTTAATATAATAAGTATACCTTCAAAAAAATTATCAAATGGATAAACGAGCGGAACGCTATGTGTTTCATAACCTTTTTTTAAATATCCCCTACTCCCAGCCTTTGTGCTAAGCTAACCGACTGCTGGCTGATGGATGGACGATGTGTCTCCACCTTTCCCACTAAAATGTCCCAGGTAATAACGCTGCTATCTTGTTCTTTTGACGTTATCTGCAGCCACAGTGTGTAGTAGTGATCATATAGTAGAGCTGCAGTAAAGAGGTCGAGCGATGCACATGCTCAATCAATCATAAGTCAGTCCCAGCTGTCAATCATGACGTTTCACTATTTTATAGCAATCGAAAACCAAAACTAAATAAAATAAGCACATCAGTATGATAACATCAACCCAAAATATATTTAACATGTACTTTGACACCGAAATTCTCAACACGCTGCAGGGATAGCAGGAGTTTTGTCCTTCCTCCTGCATGCGCTACTCAATCACCACCCCTCGCCTGAATGTTCTGGAAACTCTCCTGTTGCTATGAAAGCGTCTGACCTGGACATTCCCCTGCTATGTGGAAAGCAAACCAAAGGTTTTGACACATTTTGCAGAGTTCATGTCTGAAAACAGCCAAACAATATTTCAAGGGATGAATTGGCTGTTTCCCAGTCAGATTAGTTTTAGTATTTTAGAGCCAGCAACAGACAACATTTTGACATGTCACAATAGAAAAAAGCACTGTTATAAATAATGAAAATAATGATGGCTGAATTCCATTTAGCTGCTTCAGTGTCAGGGCACTGGTGGTGTGCAAACCTGTACTTTTCCCACTCTGACAGGTCACAGTATCTGCTGTGGAACAAACACTCAATGTTCGGTCATTGTGACCCACACTTGTTTCCTGCTGGCTCTCTGTGTTGTTGCTTCAGTGTAGTTGTTTTAAAGTGGAAGGAGGAGGTGTAGCAGCAAACATGGATCCATCCCTTTGTCTGCCACAGTCTGAAACTCTAGCTCCACCAGCTCCAGAGAAAAATCATTACCTTTGCCAAGGAGGTTATGTTTTTTTTCCTGCATTTGTTTGTTTACATAAAACTACAAGACAGATTACCACAAAACGTGGTGGAAGGATGTGATATGGGGTCAAGGAAGTAACCATTCCATTTTAGTGCCGATCTGGATCAGGGGGCTTATTGAGGAATTCTTTTTCTCGTTCTATAACATTGTGAGATGGATGTTTGTCAATATTTCATTGATTTCTTAGAAAATTCATTAAGCTTCATGAAAAAAAATCAGGCATGTTCATGGGACTGACTTTTAGTGTGTAAAATTTGACGAGTGTGCATTTTGGTGCACATACAAATAAAACTCCAGATCTAGTGAACATAAATGTGGTTTCATATAGGGAATGTTGCGTCTTTACGGTGGTTTGCATGTCAACAATTCTTTTTGTGCCATAAAACCATTTTGTTATCCAGTCGGTGCAGATTATGATTGTGTGAACTGTTGTTTTTAGTGATATCTTGGTTCAAAGTAGCACTGTAAATGTTAATGACTGCTGCAGGGTTGGTTGGAAGAGAGTCTGCACAGTGAGCTCACAGTTCGTTTAATCTGCAAAATAAAATCATCTTTTCCACTGCCGACAGTTTCCACTGTCGCCTACGGTCAGCATACAGCTGGCAGAGTGACCTTCTTCCTCTAGAGGGACAGAGATGGGTAAAGAGGTCAGGACTAACGCTGCGTTCTCCGTCCAGTCCACGGTCACATTTCCATGGAAACTGAGGGTGGCAGGTATGTTTCCTGTTTCTATCTGACCTGGTTACTGCCTGGCACATGACCTCATACATACACACATTTCATACAAATCCTCACACACATTCTGGGCCGCAGATGCAGGCATATACCTGTGTCATGAGCTGCTCCTGAGTGATAGTGTTGATCCAGCGAGTGTAACGCTCTGTAGATCCCTCTGGAAGCCTCTGAACTCTACAGCCAAGCAGCTGTCATCATGAAAAAACACATGCACACACTTATAAGCATAAAAGAACAACATTTTGAGAGCCGATGAAAACTTCTGGAGCCCTTTACGAAAAATGTTACAAGAGAAGGTAGACCTTCAGAATAAGGGTACAATTTTGGCAATTGGCTGATACAATATTTTGAAAATATGGGGCGCCTTCTCATAATCTTGTGGGTCAAAAAATGTATCAATTAAACAGGAAAATAAAGGCCAGAATGAAAATATATGTCAGTTGCAGCACTGGATAAGTATCTGGCATTTTTGACATGTACAAGCAAAACCCCTGAGGAAAGAACTAAATGAGACGTAGAGAAAAGAGAGGTGATAAACAGCTGAAAACAAACCACAGCCATAAATATTACAGCCAGAACAGAAAGGTGCAGGTTGTTTGTGCAGGGCAGCAAGTCTGCTGTCTCGATGCTGTCTCCCTCACTTCCCTCTCACACACGACCTTTGACCTCTAACCTGACAGGCCTCGGAAAGCATCAACACCGGATACGCAATCGCTCTGCATGCCAACTGCATAGAAGCTCACATTCACACGCAGCTTGACTATTTTTTTTTTACTTGAAGGGAGGGAGTGGTCAGATGGCCAGATGGAGAGAAAGAAAAAGAAGTGGGGAGTAAAGAAGAAAGGGAGGTTGATGGAGGCAGAGCTCAACAGAGCATGAAGGAAATGAGTCAGCAAAAATAGTTTTGGGAGAGAACTTACAGCGTTTGGATGGAGGAGAGAAGCTTCGTACTGCAGACGAACTCTGTGAGGCAACATGACGTCATCCTGGAGAAGAAAAAAAACAATTTAAACAGAATCCAAATGTAGTTAATAATAGGCAAAATAATTAAAGTATATCAAATGAAATAAAAAGAATTAAGAACATCACAGTTTAGCTTACATGATTCAAAAATATAAACATGCTTTTCTGGACTTCTCAGGAAGGAACATACACAGAAGAAAATAAGAACATTAAAATAAAGGTATTAATTGAAATGTAAGGTTTTATAGGAAAGGTGAATACGAGGAGTGTTGAGCAGTGGAGATGATAAAGCAAGAAACAAACAGAAGATATTTCCTGAAGGAGTTAATTGAAAAGAGTGAAAAGAGGTCAGGAGTTGAGATGTTGTAGCCTTTGATTTGTAGATTTGGCAACGTAGACTTCAGACGAACATCTACAAACACACACATACACACAAAACACATGTAGTGTAAATCAAACACAGTGCTCAGGTCATTAATCATGTGTTCTGACGGCTCTGTCAAACAGTCACCAAGTTGCTGAGCTCTGAATGTGTATATGTGAAGCCTGTATATTTGGACAAACCACCATGATCTAATTATTTTTGACTGACTACTGTGTGTGTTATGAAAGACATCTGAACAATGAAATAAAACATGCTCCACTCACACACGTACACAAACACGTACATGTACACACACACACACACACACACACACACACA